CCATAGCCGGTATGCTAAGCCCCAGAGCCAACCCAATTGATATCCGTCCATAAGCTGCCCACCATTAGTTTCCTTTCGCAGATTCATGTCCCATGCGTGCTGAAGTTCGCCAAATCGTCCGCAATTCCGGACTGCAGGGAGACAAGCATCCAAGACGAAAGCCCCAGCACATCACTTTGCCACTCAACCACCTGATCAAATTCGGGCCCGACGAAGTGCAGTACAAGAGGTGCAGGTGCGGAGAGAAGCATTAATATCTGCACGAACAAATCCCGTGAGAGGTAAAATCTGTGGCGGTGTATTGGAATCTCCTGAGATGCAGGTAACAATTCTAGATCCCGCGCTAGAAAGGTCCCAGAACGCTTCAATTCGTATGTTAAGAGAGCTTGAGAGCAAGTCCAGGCGTTACATCTCGGGGATGATTCTTGAGGGAAGCGGCTGATCGATATCCATCATAGCCCTTCCCCCAGAAGTGTCTCGAAATAAAAAAATGCGGTAAATGTTTCGCAAAGGGAGGAGAGATTGGGCTGATTGTCGGTGCATTGAGTTCAAAAGTGATCATTATCGATCAGGCCAAGAGGGAGTTGGAGGAGGGTAGGACGGAAGGCCTGTCTGCCACGTCAGAGGGAAGGATAAGAAATGAAGAAGAGGCGAATATATGCGGAGTAATTCTAGCGTGGATTGCTGTTAACCGAAATGGTGGTGTCAAAAAAACTGGACACAATAATGAGCAGGTAAAACATCCAAAGAAAGACACAAATTGTGGAGTCCATGCAAGCAGATGGGAGCACCCAAATCCGCAGCCTGGGCTGAAGGGGATTCGCCAAGGAAGACGATTCCAAAGAACCCCAAAAGCAAACACCTAGGCCGTATGTGTAATTTCGCAGGATGGCGGGATCAGGTGAAGTGAACGGTACCCGATATTGAGCTGCATGTACTTCTGGTAACCAATCCGGGTCCCTTGCAAATCTATATATGTGATCGACACTGGCGGGATCAAAGTCTTGTGACTTAGCTTCCCGGTCTGGCGGGATTGTTGTTTCCCCTTGGCCATCAGCAGTCTAAGAGACTGTTCGTCGTCCAATCGGAAAGATGACGCTTGGAACATCCCGAAAAACTCATCTCCAATCACGTTCATGCTGTAGAGCTGATTCGAAAAAAGCGCTTGAGTATTACACTGCCGAGCAGGGCGAGCTTGATCGCAAAGATAGGCAGCCGTAGATTACGATATCAGGATAAGCCCAAGTTGGTGTAAAATGGACGACAATTGAGGGATTTCCGGGAGCTAATTGCGAAGTCTGTAGACGCCAACCGTCAGCCGTATGCGTGTGTATGCCTATCCTCCGCGTCCGGGAATCGTATCAAGAAGCTCGAGTTCATCCTGACGGGGATTCAACCAACGTCCAAATAAACGTGACAGCATCTGAGCCTGGTCCACAACATATGCCCAGAACTCCGGAACTTTCGACATCCTCGTAATGATATCTTGTGCCACTTAGCGTGTGGGAAGTGGTTTTCATGCCGTAACTATAGCTAACGAGATGTAGAGGTGTCAGCTTGTGAAGACTAATACTGCAACATGGGCCGGTCGCATCCAAGGAACTCCATCAGCCCAGACAAAAGAAACTGCCGTAAGGGTGAGAAAGTGGACGATAAACACGCTCGAAATAATAGGCTCGGTTCTCAATCAAGCATTATGAGACAAGTCCAATAGAGTGAAAGGGCACCTGAAGCACTCCGAGTTGACTAGAATCTTTCAACTTCGACATCTGTTCCAGGCTGAATGATAACCAGGGAAAAATATGGGAGAGCAACCCCGTCTCAGCTTCGTCCAGTAGAAGACGGAAGATCACAAGTAACGCGTTTGAACCAAACGAGGGTGGGGAGATGGTGTGTGCAGGGGTATACAACGCGGAGGGCGATCCATGGGGTCAACGTCGAATTGCGTCTCCACTCGGCTTCTGAATGTGTTGTCCGTGGTGGCGAGGGGGAGGGGGCGCGACGGCCGGGGCGAGCTTTTCCGAATCAGTCAATTCCTTCTGGACCACATCAGTCTTCAGCCGAGGGGCATAGGCTTTGACAAACTATACGTACCATTTTCTCTGAGATAAATACCAGCCCATGATGCCCTCCAGATGAATGTTCATCACCAGCTTCGGTTTCCTCCTCTCCTCGAGATCAATTCTTCTTCCTCATACCACGATTGTGTGTACACACACCAACCGCCTCAATCAATCCTCGAACATCTCTCCAACATCTTTTTCTTCTTCCTCCTCCATAGAAGCTTCAGCTCTATACCCTTGAGACATTGCTGCCATGTGCTTCTACGACCAACAGATGTTTGCCTGCGGCGACCACAAGTGGGGACGGTTTCGAGTCCATTGCAACAAAGAGTATCGAACCGGCGAAACGTGCGGAATGAAACTCATCTACGAAGTAACGAGAACCCCCGTGGTCTGCTCCCTGTGCAAGAAGAAGGACGTCATCTGGCGCAAGATTGGACAGGCTAGCGAGCGAGTCCAACGTTGGGAGTCAGAAGGCATCAACCCTGCGTCAACCGAAAAAGAACGAAAGAGCATCCTCGTCTGGCAGATGGAGCTCCGCGAAATCGAGTACCAGAAACAATCGAAGATGCGAACCGTATAACAGGGACGTTCCAATTCAAGGGTTATTCTGGCGTTTCTTTGAAGCATGTATCGGACGTTCTTAATTTAGTTTTTTCATATGTTGTAACCGGGCTCTTTGTAGTCGTGAGGATAATGTAAGGGCGGGTTTGGAGGAGGCCAGGCAGCGATTCCGAGCGGGCGGGTGATGAAGGATTGTTGGGTGAAAACGGCGATTCGAGTGTGCGCTTGGTGAAGCAGGTGTCATGATTTCTGTTTTTATGTCTTTTCTTGTTGAAGTGTGTAGTCGCTTGAAGAGAAGGTTTGCAGCCTGAGACGCGAAACTAAATGAACTTGTTTCGGAATTTATAACAACCCTTGTTGCCTTCTCGTAAGACCTTCAGAATGTGGGCGCTTTGGTGGAGCATACTGGAGAGCGGGGAAAGTCCGAAAATAGCAACAGGCGATTCGCGACACAACCCCCCTCAGACCAACTTGAGAAGCACAAGTAAAGGCGAACAGTGATATCCAGACAAAACCGCCCCTTCGTCCACGGCGAGGAAGTGTAGCTTGTATAAAGGCAGGTCGAGCGATACCGTGAGAAAGTGATTACAAACGACAGCAGATGCGCCCATGGACGATTCGCGGAATGTCCCTACATCCCGAAGACCCCTCATAGGATCAGGTCGCCACAAACTTCAAATTCGGGAGATCGGAGGTGTCCATCCAGGAGCTCAGAAACGAGTAAACAATCGATGCTCGGGTAATGCGACGTGGTAGGGATGAAGAATCCGAAGCCATGTTCGTGGCCTAGTGACGCGGGGAGGCCCAAGGCTCGAGCGAAGATGTCGAAGACTTGGTGGAAAGAAAGTGGTCTACCAGTTGAAGTACTGACGGGGCGACAAAGCCAGTTGAAGGCACGACAGAAATAGTTGGTCGTTGGTGGACGGTCGTTGAGGTGCGCGGGGAGGTGAGAAACTGGAGAAGACGTCAGGAGGAGGGGAAGAAGATGCATGGGCCAAAGACAATCGTGCTCTGATCACCACCCCCAAGACAGAACTTACCAAACGTAAGTACTGCATCCGCAAAACCTCTTCCGCCAAAACCAATTTCAATAACTGTGGCCACCAGTACTTTATACAGCTGAAGGAGATAAAACCCATCCACGCAAAGCATCTGAGCCTTGTCAACGTGGCCACACAGTTGCCCTGCCCAGGATGTATACAACGCATACGCCCACGCAGTCAGTTCTTATCTGCTCGTAACCAATTGATTGTCAGAAAGGGTATTAATCCCATCGCGTCCCATACATGGTGGGGGCCTTAATTCCGGATTTTGAATGGCGTGGGTCTTTGAACTACCGCCTTCCGTCAAGATCATTGTGGTGGTTCGTTCGAGTGCGTGATACAGCTTGACAGTAATGCAGCGACTTTTCCCGAGTCAGTTGCATCATAGGACCAAAGTGATTCGATACAGGATGCTGATTGGATATTCTTAGTTCCTAGACGAATCGACATGTCAGCTTATGCGTATGCATTAACTGATGCTAACTAACAGCATATTGGAAAGCGACTAAAATTGCTGGCCGGGTATGGTGCGACAACTACCTTCTATTAGATATCAAGCGCATTAATGAACGAGTGAAAACATCAAATACCTGAAGTCGCTCCTTAAGAGGGTTTTCGAGGTTAACAGCTGTCTAAATTTTGGTAGTCGGCGGTTCAGTTGTGTTCGGGGTCAGATTCTGTTGTTCGTGGTCAAAACGGCAGTCATGGCGAACCTTCAGCACTGTTCAAGAGCGTTCTGGAACGAACGGCCCCCAAGGTTCTCTTTCATAACATAACAGTTTCATCAACAATAGCTTCTTCACAATTCCTGTCTCCATCAGGCCATGAACATGCTCTCGTCCTTAACCATGCCGCATGCATACGGGCAACATATCCTCATCTCCTCTATGTGTATTTAAATAATCCCCTGGAGGTGTACGCGGTAACATCAATCCCTGAATTCCTTATGGAGGTGGGATTGGTGAGCGAAGAGATCTGTGAGTAGGAGGACATGTCCGATGGTTTTCAAGTCGCGCGACGATTCGGCGACGATTCGACAACGAGGCTCAGAAATTTTTTCCGGCAAATATTATCGGAGTCGGAGGTAGGGCTAGAATTTTATGCGCAGAAGGACTGATGACTGCGAAACTGATAGAGATGGGTAGGTCTGCCAACTATGGTTAGGGCCAAAGGACTAAAACAGCAGGAAGTTTCAAGAAATGGGTAATGAACGACTTGACGAACCGTAGGGTAGCCAGTCAGGCTGAACAAGGATGATATTTGTTGCTTTCGCTAACCACAGTTTAGGCTTTATATTATCAAAGCGCCCTCACTTATCGTCACTCGAATAGCTCGGTTGGTCTAGTGGTATGATTCTCGCTTAGGGTCCACCCTGAGAACGTTTGCGAGAGGTCCCCGGTTCAAACCCGGGATCGAGCCTATCCTTTTTTGCGTCATCATGATAGGATTATGAACCTATCAATTTTTTTCTTTATTATATTGAACCCTCGCCAAAGGCTGCTGCGGAATCTCACTCACGTAACTTGAAGGAATCTTACGGTGGCTGTTCACTCCATGGATCTCATCATTCCATATTCATACCTCCTGAAGTAGTCTTTTAACGCCTTGTACTCTTTTAGGTAGTGGTTCTCTACGTTCTAAGTGTAATACAGGACTTGTCCTTAAAACAACTATCCGAAACGATGAGTGATTCACATTGGCACTTACAAGATCGATGAGTCCAACGGTCAAGCTGCGAATGCGGGATATAGTCTATAAATTTCCTTACGATAGTTACAATTACATTGCGAGAACCATGATGCTCACTGTTGCCCAATACTAATGCCTCCCTTCCAAAAATCCAACCACTTGACCGTCAGATAGGCACTTTGAGGCAAGCTCCGGAGTGACAGCCAGCTCTCAATCATAAGAAAACACCTCGCGAACAGAAAACAAACCGCCATGATAACCCCACTCACGATACAAAACACCTGAAACATCTTTTGCCCTCGGTAAGACTTAAACCACAGCGATGCAAATCCCGTCGCTCCAAAAGCAATGACCGGGAGAATGCCCATCAGTCCCATGATGCACGAGATCTGCCACATCCGTTGCTCAATCGCCGTCGGAAACTCTTGGTTCCATTTGATGGCGTGAAGACCCCCGTACAAACAACCAGCAGTGCCTGCATACAGGACGAGGTAGACCCGATGTCGGAATTGCCAGCGGGTGTCAAAATACGTCCAGATGTACTCGTGTGGGGCTACTACCACACCCTCTTGCGTCTCCTTTGCAGATTCCTCGTCGGTTCGTTCGGGTTCGCTGATTTCGAATCGTTCGAAGAAGGGGTTGTGGGAGAAGAGTCCGGGAATGTGGATAAACTGATTTCGAATAAGTGATTGGGAGAATGTGTAAGTGATGATGGACCATGTGTCGACAAGGAGTTGCTTCTTTCGTCCCCACCAGGTCGATCGGTCTTTGGGGAGGAGTGATGCAGTGAACCGGTCCAAGAGCTTGATAACTTCAAGCAGGCTGTTGGTATGGATTGTTTTTAGCTCTCCGTCGTTGCTAACAGATTGGAAACTATGGATTGTTAGTTTGTATTCGTAAACTTCGATAAGAAGACGTGGTCAGTGGATTGCTGGATGGAGAGATCGCAAGGGTGCTTATCTAAGTGAGCCAGCGCGTCATGTGCATTTCAACTTAGCTAAGCACCCTGGTACCACCACGTGCTCACGGATACACAGATTTAGGAGAAAATACACTGTTTTAGGCTTTCGGTCAGTAAAAATCAATGATGAAGAACGGATCGGAAGTGTCTTACTTTCTTCGAGCTTGAACTCAATAGTACTCAATGGGTTGATCTCAGCCCTGTACTCAAATACAGCTTGTTTCCATCTCAATCGTTGCCGATTCTCCTTCTCTCTGCGCAACTCAGATTTCGAGTTAACCTGCGGTGTATCGTCTCCGCTATTTATTGACGGAATATCGACTCGTATGTCCATAGAGCTCGAGTCGTTCGGGGCTGTTCGCTCTCCACTGATTGTAACTATACTATCGACGTTCACAGAGTCGAATTTATCGGGTGGAGTGGCCTCGCCACTCATCGCAAGTGGCTCTGTACGGCTCGTAGGGTCCAGGCTACTCCGAGTTATGTCCTCCGAGCGTCTACCACTACGAAGTTCTCGTAAGCATTCGTCAGGGATAATACCGTCATAAATTTTGTCCAGCACGTTGAGGATACGACTAATAATTTCCAAAGTGGTTCTCTGGTGATTCTTGTCGGTTATCAAAGCCCCATCAAGCCTCACGTGCCCCTTGGAGGTGTTCAGGGCCGAGTGAGCTAGGGTGTTGAGATAGTTTAGCTTCCGAAGCAGATTTTCGTCTTGGACATTATACTCTGAGTAGTATCTCGCTTCTTCGCCTTCGGAATCATTGCCGTCGGGATCAAAAACAACGGCCGCCAGATCCAGGAAGTGGGACAACGTGTCACCCCTCCAACGGCGCTCGCGGCGGTACATCATCCAATCAGACAACGAGACATAAGGGTGCATAACATGATCTTTCTTATGTTCGGTTTCAAGAAATTGGACGAAATCGCGCTCCAGGATATCCCAATGGAATGCATCTTTGATGTTGGGTTTGGTTACCAGTATCATCGACCGCCCAGCGTCCACAGGTTTTTTCCACCACGCAGCATACATGAATATAAGATTCACGATGTGTAGAATGGTCGTCAACTCGAGTGGCGTTATGGGAAGATAATCGATGCTGCGAGTGATACACTGTAAAAACACCCATATTGCTTGAGAGCACACAATGACTTTGGCAAGCCCGTCCGCCTTGCTCCGGACGTCGATCTCATGGTCGGATATACGCTGAAGATTTTGTCGCCATTCTTCCGTGGCGAGTGCGTCAATTGGGACTGGAACCAGTTCATCGCGTTCCAGATATTGGAGTGGTGCTGCCTGGCTTCGGTAGTACCAACCTTTGGATTCCTGGCGTCGGCGGTGGTTGTGTCGAAGCAATCGCAGCGGTGACACGTCCACGGGGTTGAATCGTTCACCATCACTCCAAGGATGTGCCCGTACCACAGCCAGACCTCCCATGATCGCGAAAAATGCCTTTGACATTGTGATGCGTTCCTTTCGAGGTACGTTGTGGTTCGCCTTGCTGCAGAATCGCCGTACCACCAGAAATTGGTGGAGTGCAACTGTCGAGACGAGCTCTGGAGCAATCAGGGCGACAAAGGCCCACACAATCTTCCCCATATAGCCCGGAGGGGGCTTGAGGCCAAGTTTGAGAGAAGCCGGTTCGATGTTGAGATGAAGAGCGGTCCAAATGCAAAGACCGAGACTGATTCCACATAAAAGAATGATGGAAAGAGTTCCACGTCCATCGGGTTCCGGTACCCACCCAACACGGGTATAGTTGAGAGTTCTGTTGGCTGCTGAAGCGGAGTCTACGAAGAGGAGGAGGAGGAGAAGACTCATGTTGTTGATTGTGAGAAGGTCGAAAAAGGTGCGGTGCGCAGGTGTGGGATGTTGGGAGCGGGTCGGCGAGACGAAGGTCGGGTTCCGAGTCTCACAGACACGGAAGGTGATGATACAAGTCTACGCAGGATTCGATTGATTTAAATGTTGAGCGAGTTGGTGCCAGCTGAGTGGGCTGTGTAAATCATCACATCTCTATTGTTGGTATGGCTGGACCGTCGCACACGCGGGTCGTGCTCACTTGGAATGGCTACACAGTAGATAGCTACACGCGCCACAATTACATTCATGCATATGCGTACGTTTCTAAACTAATTAAAGCTGATGTGTATTCCTTTTACGTCATTGTCATTGGCTTCTGGGCTCTTGTAAGCGAAACTTTCTTGGACATCTGTGGACTTGGAACGCGGCCCGTTTGCTGGCAGAACCAGGGTAAACGACGTGATCATTGAGGCAGACTGATGGCATGTATCGTGTAACTACCACATCTGGTATGCCCATGAGAAGGCTGGCCTTGTTCATCGATTATTTTGACACGTTGAACTGCATGGGCTCTTACGGAGACTTACGGCCGTCTTGCCGCTACAAAGGGAGCTGAATATGCTCAACAATGAGCGTGCCTTACCAGTTGTTGTGTTTGCCTTTGGGAAGCGGATTATATGACAAGGCTCGCAAGCTAACCCCAAAACTCGTTGTTCCAACCGGTCGACCTAACATTGGATAAAATGTCAGATGAACATCCTCAGGCAGCCTCAGAAGGCGCACACAGCCCGAGCCCTATACCGATTTAATTCATGATCATCCCACAGACCTGAGAAGTTGTACTTATCTGCGATGGACACACACTGAGGTGAACTCGACGTAGAGGAGTCTAATCGCACGTATGTGTAGGAGGGATGGCGCTGTGCAAAATTCAACCATGAGGAACAAGATATCTGACAACAAGTCCCCACACCATGGGAATTTTGTGTCATTTGCAACATTCGCCAGTTCACCTTGGTTTGCGTGCCGTTGAGGAGGTGGGCTGCGCATGCACATGCGCATGCGCATTCTCAGCGCTAAACTGAAATTGGGGACCTTGCAACCAATGTAGCAAGCTTCTTGACCGACGTGTGCAAGATGACTAGATCACATCTATGCCGTGGCTAAGGTGAATTAAATAGCCTTTGTTCATGGAAAGTGACTTCATTGTCCGTTCCCAAATGAATGCTGATTCATGGGCGACAAATACGAGTCTGCATATCCAACACAACCACTGTGCAACAACAAGACTCGACGATTAAACAGGTTGACGTACCAGGGCAAACAGACTCTTGACGCCGCGAGGGCGCTTCTGTAGGCATTTACGCGCCCCGCAACGTTGATCGGCAGGCGGGGTGAGAGCATCAGGGCGGGGTGTGATGACTGAAAGTTGGCCGGCTCAGATGAGGCCAATGGAGGCTTGGGGTGGAACATTGGCGGGGGGATGAGGGGCACTGTGTGGCCTTACTTCTTGACGCCGCTTCCAATGCCACCAGACGAAGCTTTGGCAAATCGTCGCCTTTAAAGCACCAGGCGAAGTGGGCATAGGATTGGGCGGTTCCCTCATGGGCTGGAGCGGCGGCGTGCTCCCGGGTGGTCTTCGTCCGTGATTTCTCTTCTCGCCCCTGCAGGCTGCTGTCGCCCTAGGCGACCGATCCAACGACACCGACCCCCAAGCTCCTCCTCATCGTCCTCTCCTCCATCGCCGGCCCCCTCCCCCAGCATCCGCAACACTGTTCCCCCAACCACCGACCCATCTCCGTCACGTCGTCGATCGCAAGAAGCGCACTCTTCTCTGTCCTCCCGCTGACCCTCAAGCCCATCCCGCTGCCGACGTCGACTTCCCCGCTTGGTCCATTGCTCCTGCACCACGCCGACCTCTCACGCCCGCGCCAGCACCCCTCAACCAGCTTCACAGATCACGCT